ATTGCTTATCTTCCCCCTTTTTGGTATTCAAAATCCATTATGGTTAGAGGTCAGAATCAGTCTTTAAACTAGCTATGTTTGGCCGAGCCTTTTCCCCCCTCCTCCTTTGAGCCATCCATATCTGTCTTTTGCTGTGTTCTTACTCTGAGACTTACTCTCTACTTGTATTGGCTGAGCCTCTTCCGTGCTGAATGTAAAGCTGAGCAAAAGCCATTTTTCTATGGTTTCTGAACAAGACAGTAAGGCTGAATTCTAATAGGAGAAAAAAAAAGGAAATAAAAAATTCTTTGTTCTTTCTGAGAAACATTAATTCCTGATGGGAATTGTCTGCTATGTATATTCTGCTTCTGCTTGATCACAGCTCTCTCATTATTTTTTATTGCAAAAAATTAATCAGTTTTAGGAAGGAAATTATTTTTCAGGCTCTCAGGTAGGAGGAGTCAGACCTCAGTCTTCTGTATTTCTGTTTGTGGGGACTTTGTTGTTTATAGTTTAGGGTACATAATTATTACAGCAGAATTGTCAAAATGAGAATTTATTTCCCTGAGGTTTAAATTCTAGTACTTTAGCACACCGGTGCTAAAGGTTAGTCCAATTTCTGGTTCCAGAAAAAAAAGGAACTGAGTTAGCCCTGCTGAACTACAATTATGTTTTCTCTGTGTTTCATAATCATAGACAACTATAAGTTATCTATAACTATAACCATCTGAATGTGTTTTTAAATTTCAAACCTTCTGAAATTTCTTATTTATATATACACTTGTTAACATCTTTAAATGAGAATATTTTGCACTGTTCTAATGCTTTTCTCTTCTGAGATTCCATTTCTGGAGGCATTACTCATGTTGAGTGGTTATTCCTGACTTAAATATGTACTACTCAGGCCTCGTGGATTAGGTCTCATCTATTACTGGACAAGAATTTTCCCTTGGTTATGCATGTTTAACATTGCTAATCTCTTCTAACACATGAAGATTGAAGACTGACCGTGGTCTAGGCAGCTAACTGGTTTTAATTTGGAAGTATAGAGTGGTGAGTTGAGGTTAGTCAGTCCCCTTTTAATACAAAGATTGGCAGAAACGATGTTCCTGGAAATTATTTATGAATAGGTGAATGTTTTCATTCATGAATTCAAATACTCAACTGCGTTAGACACTATCAGTCAGCAAGCTAGAGATATCTGTACAGGAATTATTGGCATACATTGTACCTGCATCTCCTCTGTGGCTAGATTTGCAGGTGGGGTTGAACAACAAATTCTGTTGTTCAAAACCAGATGCAGCTGTTTTGATGCTTGCCAATATATTGATTTTTTTTCTCTTGAGACTTTGATTAACATATAATTATTTTTGCCATTTTGCTTGTTTTGCAGCATCTGTTCTACATGACATGTTTACTTTGTCTCATCTTGGTCTCTGTGACATGTTCCCACTCAGTATTTTTCAAATATTTTCTGTTGGGTTGGATGATTCATGTTTTTGCTGGACTTTATTGGCTCAATTTACTGCTTTTACTACTGTTTGTTTTCAGTTCTAATGTAAAGGCTTATTCCTCCTTTCTTCATTAAAATTATTATTTTCAGTACATAATGTCTTTATGGATGAGTCAGTTATCTTCTCTAGATGGAGAGGCTAATTTTCTTTGAAATCTCATGTGTCCATATGGCACTTGATTTGTCTTTGTTATGCTTGTTTTCTGCTGTCATAGTTTTACTAATGGCAGTAGAAATATATTTATATAAAATTTATATAATAGTCCTTTAGTACTGCTGGCACATATTACGGCATCTTTTATGCATATAGTAGGACAGGGTATAAGTATATATACTTATATACTTATTATATATAATATATATATATATAAAATATATACTTATTCTATATCGTATAAGTATATAGAAAACTCATGGCCTGTTCTGTGTGGCAAGACCCCCCATACTAAGAACTGGAATAATTTCAGCAAACTCTCTGACTTACCAGTTCAGAAGATCTTACCACTGTAGTTTCATGTTTGTAAATCTAGCTACTTTCAAGGAGGAATCAGTAGGAATCTGCACCTTGTTCACTCAGTGTTGCTGGTCACTGAGCAGTAGTAATATTCCTGCCTCTTTACACAAGCTATTGATTGTTTTGTATGTTGATGAACTGGTTTTGACTATACATAGGAGCCTGAATTCTTTGTAATGAAAAGAATATCATTCAAACACAAAGCACACTAAACTAGATAAATACAAGAGGCATGATTGATTAGAGTGGTAATCATGTGTGCTTTCATTTTAGAGCAGAGACAAATGAGTTTCTTCCCACACAGAACTTTGAAGAACGAATCCAGTTTCCCATTGTATATCTACCAAAAGGTTCAGGAATACTCTTTGTGGTTTTCCTCCTTTTTGCATAAATAATTGTGCATAAGCATAAACTTATGGGATAATAATATTTTTGACAGATGTAGTGTGGGCAGAAGTGTTACAATTGTTCTTCGTAGTGGGCTGCTATTGAGTTTCAGGCTAGTCAGGCAATGTTGAATTAAACTTGAAAGTCCTTTTGGTGGAGAGGGCAATTTTTGCTAAGTTTTCACATGATAGTTTATGAACTGAACAGACAAAGATTAGAGATTTTTGTCCAGTTCAACTGGGTACTCCTGCAAAATTAAGCCTAGTCTCTTATAGGATGCAGTAAAAAAGGTAGTAAGGAAAAGGAGTCACTGTTGTCTGTTTCAGGAGACAGTATTGAGCATGTGGCTCCAACTTAGCTCTCATTGTATGGCATTAGATGGTTCAGTAGTGATAGGAAATACCCTGCAGAGGATCTCAGATTATGTGAACTGTACTGTTTTAACTCACACAAAGACTGTCAGTAAGGACATCAGGTATGGATTTGCCAGGTTTCCTTATACTGCTCTAATCAAACAAGCATGGGCTTAGAAAGGAGTGGTTGAACCGAAACTATTTGGGAGCTGAAGCAGTCAAGGAAAAATTATCTTTTCTGAAATACTTTCTCAAGCAAGGACCATCTCATTTGGGTGGTAAATTTGCCTTACTCAGTTCTGGCATAGAGTTCTCAGTTCCTGAAAACCATTTTGGCACCTATGTTCAGCTGTGAACCACCAGGAGCAGGAACTCAAGAAGCAGACTGGACGTAGTGGATGGTATGGCCCTGTGCCTTTATCTCATAAGGTTCATCTTGGTCAAAACTAGTTTCTATTCTAGTTTTTAAGCTTTGGAAAGTAGAGAGTGCAGAAATCTCCCTTTGGCTTACAGAAAGTTGTTCTGGTTTTCTTCCCATGCAGCTTTGAAGATCCAGCTGCAATTTCTTGCAGTTCATCCAGATCTCACTGTGTAATTTGTGTCACAACAAAAACCCTGCAGCTGCTTTTGTGTACTGATGCCGACCGAGGTGGTTGGTAGAGACCCTGTCTGTAGTGAGGGTTGAATGAGCAAGGATGGGCGCTGCAAACTCAGTCCAAAATTTACCCTGGGGTTTTGTTTCTGGTGAGGGTTGTGGTTGCTGGAGATGTTTAGTTATTAGGGAAACTGAATGCTGCTTCTCATCTCCTCTAAAGAGTCAGTATGACAGTGGTGTCATACCAGCCTAGCACAGTGGTGCTGAAATTTGCACCCGGAGTGATTCCAAATGAGGTACCCCACTCACAGCCCAGCTACCACTTACATCCGTGCTTGTGTGCTGGATGGAGAGAAAGGTAACAGTCCACTACATCATTTGCCAGGTTTTAATTCTCATATTTACTTCCCATTCCACACTGGCATATTAGCACTTCCCTACAGACTTTAGACAGACCTTCTTCTGTGAGTTTGGGAAGTGTTTTTCTTCTTCCTCATCAAGTGAGAATGACAACATTTTAAATCCTTTCAGTATTTGAACTGCATATGTTATGCATGAGCTGATGCTCTTAGGGCTCAAGGCATTTTGGACTTTCTGGTGTCCTTTTCCCCCCAAGATTTTGCTTGCCCCATGCTTGAAGTCTGAGACTCATAAGAAAGACTTAAGAGGGAGAAAAAGAAGCCAAATTCCCATAAATACATTTGATAGACAGGGAAACTAAGGCAGAAGAGACCACACAGTAGTTTCATGTCTGAGCCAGGAGAAACTTCAAATGATCCAACTTGTGCTTTAATTATGAGAAAACACTATCTTCCTCCTCAATTCCTTAGCTGGTTAAAGCTCCTTCTCTGTCCTGGAGTGAGATTTCCACGTACAGAGCTTCTGAGAATCACCACTCTGGGGATTGCTGTTAACTCCAAAATGTGTTATTTGCACACTGAAGTACTTAACTAAGGAGCTTTTCTTTTTCCAGTTGCAGTCACTGGAGGCTTCATAGTAATAGAGCTGTCTTCTGCTCTCTGCCAAGTTTATTTTCCAAAAGAAATATCTGAATGAGGAAACAATGACTAAATTGGATATGTGAACTGTCTAGCATACTCCAAAGGTCCACATATTAACAAGAGAGAGGACTTTTGGATGGCTGAAGGATATATTATTATGACTAAATGAATCTTTTGTGAAATTGAGGGGGAAAAGAAAAGGAAATGAAATTGGCTATCAGGAAACACTTTGACAAGGGATATTTGCTGAAAGTCTCATGACCTGGGACAGAAAATCTAGGGAGAAACTCTCTATTGATGTAGGGTGCACTTTATAACCAAAAAAGTATTTTCCATCTCCCCACTTTTTTAAACTGATTCTGTGTTCAGCATCACTCATGTGTTAGTGTCAGGCTTAAAACAATGCCTACAAAATTTGGCATAATTTCAAGGCAGTTGGAAGAAAGAGGCAAAAAATATTTAAAAACCGGGGGTGATGGGAAGCTCTGAGGGAAGAGCTGGGGCCGGGGCTCAGCCCATGTTTCACACCTGCTTTCTCAAGTCCCACTGACAGTTTGCAAAGGGTAGGACCTGAGAGCCTTGATTGCCCTGATGAGCCCCACCTGGGCTCACCCTATTTAAACCCAATGCAGAGCTTCTCTTTCTTTTCACACAGTGCCTCTGCAGTGCCTTGCCTGCTCCCTCCCTGGGTTGGTTTCTGTTGCTGGGACAGGAAACATCTTTTTTGTCAAGGAGAGAGTTAGTGGTGAGTCAGGTTTAGTACTATTTTCATATCACGCTTTTAATTTGAAATTTCTTTTTGGTTTTTGTAATTTAACTTGTCAAATCAGTTCATGTCCATAGAGCAGAAGTGATCTTTAGGCCAAATTGTCTGAATGCTCAGGAAGAAAATGGGATATCTCACAGAGGAGAGAAAGAAACTTGTGTTATCTGGCAAGTTTCAGGCTCAGATGGAGAGTTAAAATGTCAGCTAACTGGGCCAAACTGCAACCTGTGATAAACTCTGGCCTTCCATGGAGATTGCTCTGTTTTGCTTAGTTTGGTATGAAATCACCTTGCAGTAGCTTGGAGTTAAGCTCTCTTCTTTTCCTCTGTGTAATGCTTACTACACCTTGAGACTTGGAAGTTTTTGTTTTGATTGAACAATATGCAGAGTGAAAAATAGCCTTCTGAAGTGAATGTCCTTCCTTGCTCCTTCAAGAGCTTTTTCCCAGTCCTTAGTACATTTAACAGCCATTTCTGGGACCAGTGGCAGTGTTTGAAACCCACACAGGTTGTAAGGCTTGAAATAGTTCTGCTACAGTGCCTGAAGCTGCACATGTGTTCTGATTTGGAGATTGAAAGCAGCTGTGAGAGCTGGTCAGGTGTGCTGCAGCCAGGGGCTGGAAGAGCTTCACTCTGAGAACTGCTGTGGAAAAGAGCTGCTTTGAAAACTGCCGCAGCTGGGGCACTGCCTTACAAGGTAGCAGTTTTTCCCGTGTCGAATTACACTAAACACTTATTGTGCTGTAGGTGACTGTACTGTACATAAATATACACTTTTCTAACAGCACTGGCAAAGGTGTTGAACCATTTTCTGGGATTTTGGTTTGTTATTCATAGATATCGTTGGTTAATTTGATAGCCTTTACAAGTTGTCAAAGTCAGTTTGAAGATTCTTAGGCTTCCATGAGATTTTCTGTCAATAAAGGTACCAGAACCTGGTCCAGGGCCAATATTTTACAAGGATTAGAACAGTAAAAATGAAAGGAATCCTGTTAATCTGCCTAAACAGTTACTGCAGATATTTGAGTTGTGGGGAATAGGGGTGGATTTATTTGTTAGTTGGTTTTGAAAGAAATATTTGAAAAAAGGCACTTTTGCATTCCATGCAGCTTGTTAAGTATCTTGATTATATAATAATTCTACAGTACACCAACAACAAAACGTTGATAGAATATACTTACAATTTCCAGTGGAGAATTTCACTGGCCACAGGAAGGTAAGAATGACTATTATAACACATAAAAGGAAGATTGAGAAACGGAATAAATTAGTGGAAACATGGCCTGGTAATGTTTTTGGGAGAGGCAGAGGGTTAAGTGCATCATGCAAAGGGGGCCACATGCAACTGCAAGCCCCAGGAAATTAATGGAGTCTTACCAGGTCAAGACCCACCTTGTACAAATTCATTTGAAGTCTTTGAACACACAAGGTTTTTTTTTTTTTCTGCCATCTTAACTATTTCTTCTATTAGTATCAGCATAACTGGAATTCCTCATAGTATTTGTTCAGTGCTCATTTCATCCTTTAATAGAAGGATCTGTCTTTCTAAAGATAAGCTTATTTTTCCACCCCAAAGAGAAAAGCAAGAATGCTTGACAGCTCCTTTCTTTCTTTCCTCTACTCACTATGCAGCAAATAATCAATCTTGGCTGAATGACATTTTAGAGAAATTACAGTCGTAAATGTGTCAGTACTTAAGAAAAGTGTAAAATGCCCCTTGCATTTACATGAGTGGGAAATCAGAATTTAGCTAAATATACATGTGGCTGAAGAAAGCATAGAAATAAAAAGGATCTTGTAACAAGAAAATTACAAGGCAGCTTTTTGAAAAAAATTGCATGAATGGTCACCACTGTGAAGATTTAAATGGGTGGCTCCCAAATGAATCCTTGAGAAGAGTGAGGGTGCCTAATTCTGGTGGTGCTGAGTGCCCTTGGCATCAGACCCCTTCTTAGAAAAGGTTCTTCTTGTGCTCTCTTTGCTGCTGCAAGATCAGACATCACATACCAAGTTTTGTGGGCTGGTCTGTAACTGTTTTTCTCCTCCTTTCTCCCAGGTTTTTGGCACAATGTATTTACCCTTATTTCAATAATAATGTAATAACATGCATTGATCCTTTAAACACCTACAGTTTAAAGCTTTTTCCCAGTGGCACCTCAGCAGGCTTTGCAAACAGTGATCAATCAATAACCTTCACAAAGCCCTTTGCATCCCTCTCCTAGTTACACAGGGAACTGAAGGATAAGGGTGTTGAAAGACTTGGCCAAGGTCACACAAGGAGTTGGTAGCTGACTTTTTAAATCTCAGACTCCTATTTCAGACTTCAGACCACACGTCCTGCACATAAGCATGTTTATATTTTGGGCAGGGTATAGGGAACAGTCTTGCCACAGTGACTTTCTAGGTCACTGACTATTCCTTTATAAATTCTAAACTTTCCAAAGCCAAGTGTCTGAAAAGGAAAAATATGAGGGATGCTCCAAGAGTGAGAAAGCTGATGTTGCAAGGATGTAGATTTCTCACTAAGGGAAACCACTGAAGTGTTCCAACTTAATTTGGTTTGCCACCGACCAGCAGGCTGGTGATGGTGACGCTGTCTTGCAGTCTGCCTGTGCGAGGTGTTGGTTAATGTTGCTACAACAGATATTCATTATAACCTACAGTTACCCACAGTTTTCTCTGTTTATGCAACCATTTAGTGGTTATTCATTAAAAATAAAATTTATGTATGGTTATTGGGTGTGTATTTTGGCAGGGAAGTGACCTTGGCAGAAACCTGTCTGGATCAACACTCAGCTAGCAGTCACTCTTTATGTTGTCATATAAAACCTTGTTAAATAATATTTTGTTTCTATCTTCAATTGCTGTTATATAAGACCAGTAATGAAAGTCTCCCAAAGGATTGGTAAATGGGAGTGAGTTTTTCTGTACATTTTCTCTATAAAATAAAGAGCTAAGCCAATGAGTGTCAACATTATTGCCTAGTTGAAATGCTTGCTGTAAACTCTGATAGTAAATTGTTTACTTTTAGATTTTTGCAGGTTTAAAAGTTCTCTACATTTAAATACAATTTGAATGGCTTTTGGAGAACTAAGGATAATTCACATTTGGAAAGCATTTAACTTTCATTTCAGTGAGACTACTCACATGCTTAGAGTTAAGTGGTTGGTTGAATTGTTTAATGCTCAGAAAAGACACTAAAAGCCAGGGAGAATATGTAGCTTCCAGTGCCAAAACTGATTGTAGCTTAGATAGTTGAAAAAGACACCTTAATGTCAATGTGCAATGTCATTGTGTTTTACTAATTTTCATTTACTTGATGTCATTTTGATATAGCTTCAATTTCACCATGTTTTTCCCTGGCTTTTGTGATTTATTTTTGATCCTTTAAAATGGAAACTTTGCATGAAAATCAGTGGGTGGAAAGCTGCTATAAAGCTAAAAAGGAATGTTGATTCCTGCATTGATTATATTTAAATATATTGGTACAATTATTGGCAGCTTGAGGATGGAGGAAGGTGAATTGTGATGTTGGTTCATCTTCATCAACATTATCCATAAGGTCTGAAGGGTGCATTTGTGCTTCTAGAGGCACGTTACATGGACAGAAAGAAATGGTTAAACTGCTTATGGACTGCTGAAAGGAGGGGTGGTACAGAGACCTCCTGTTCTTTGTTGGCTGTGATTGCAGGACAAGGGCAGGAGAGCTGCAGCCATGTGGCTGCAGGGACTCTCTGGGGAACACCTAGAAAGCTTCCTCTTGTACTAAGGGTTTGGATATGATAAGGTGAAGAACAGACAAGAAGGGGTCCCTAGCACTGCTAGCTACTCTGACAAATGAGGGTAAATTCTATCCTCAAATGTTTTCCAGAACCAGAGGATATCTCCCTCTGGGGCACACCTGAAGCTCTCTCTCTTCACTGAAATAAATAAGTAGTTTGTTTCTTGAATCAGGAAAATCTGCCATAGAGCTTTGGTTGTCAGGAGAATGGAAAATGAACCTGCCCTTGGCTTCCAGAACAAAAGGCATGCAGTCCCTGGTTGTCAGGGGAAAACAAATAAAGAAATCCCAGGTTCTTGCTTTGGGGTAAAAACAAGCCAAGAAGTGTCTTTGCTCTGGGCTGCCTGTGGTAGACACCTTTTGGAAAAGTTAGACTTCACCCACACTTACCACAGGGCAAGAATTATTTTCCCTCAGTCCACAGGGATATCTGCCTCTGTCATGAGGGAAGTGGCTGCATGGTGACTTCTGAATTGTGACCAGCACTGCTGTGTGTGCCTCAGCCCAGTGTAGGCTATGGCCCCTTCTGATAGTTTCCTGTTAGGAGGCCAGGGCAAGTTCAGTTTCTCCCCCCTGGTGGGTACAAAATTAGAAAAGGAGGAATGCAAGACTCTTTTTAATGATGTTTCTTTTGAGAGAGGCTATGCCTGACTTTTGCAGGACTGTGTATTTTTTAGACTGTAGACCTTGCCTACCTGAGTGGGCTATAACACCAGTTTCCCTGATCAAGCAAGCACCAGTTGCTTGATCTGCTGTCTTTGAGCTGAGGTCTTCTTTCTCACTGCTGAATTGTGCCCATATGGTGAACAGTTTATGCAGTCCTAACAGAAATTCAAAAATGGCTTTTGCCTCCTGGCCTCTCAGCACTCCCCAGGATGTTGTGCCTCGGAGTCCTTGCTCAGGGCTCTCCCTGGCACTGCTGATGTGAGCACTGTGGCAGGAGGGTCTGGCTGCCTGGTCTCCAGCTGTTGTAGCACCTGGCTTGTGTGTGTGCTGATAGGCAGCACTTTTCAGTGTGGCTTATAATCTTCCCACAGTGGCAGCTCATCTACCCCTACCCCATCTTTTCTCTTTGCAGAGGAAAAGCATCTTTGTCCCCCCACTGTACTGGGAGGTGTTTCTGGGTGGTTCAGTGTGTGAGAAGGGCTCCAGATCACTTCTGTTGCTTTCCCTATCACAGCTTTTTTGTGAGAATCCAT